CTATATGAGTAACCCATTTAAATAGTTGGTCAAAATATCATAATTATTCTGTATAGCTGACATTTTCTCATAGTGTGAAATCATGGTTCAAGCTCAGGTTGAGCATATAATGATATATTTCGATTTAAGTATTTTTTTTTTTGAATGGCAAAAGTGGTATAAATCACAGTTTACTGAATAACCAAGCTAGTAAGTATTATTTTCATGAAATATATAGCCAGTTATCATCCTTTAACAAATGCCATTATCCATAATTCAAGGCATTCAATAGGCATGAGGACCTGAGTTTGTATTCCCAGCACCCACAAAAAAAGGTGAACATGGCTGCGTATATTTGTCACATCAACACTGGGAGGCAAATACAGAGGTTCCCTGGGACTCAGTGGCCAGCCACTCTAGGCAATCAGAGAGCTTCAAGTTCAGTGAGAGTCTGTTTGAAAAATAATATGGTGGCAATTGATAAAGGAAGACATCCAAAGTCAACCCCTGGCTCCCATGTGCTCAAAAGAGGGGGGGGGAGAAAACTTGAATAAAACCATTATTCTGATGTCTTCACTGTACTCCCCTTATAAGTTGTGCAGACCACAATTAACAATTTACCTTTTGAGCAAATGCTGTATCCTAGCCAAGAAGATTATATTCTCTGATTTCAGGAGGCTGAAGTAAGAGGGTACCATGTTTAAGGTCAGCCTGTCTCAAATATAAACGGACTAGAATGAACAAATAAAATGAGGAAATGTAAAACTCGATTTGATAAGTTTCATTTTTCTCAGTAATGATCTATCATTTATCAAAGAAACTGTATGTATAAATGACAACCGTTGGAATCCCCTAGGAAAATAAATCAACCTCATAGAGAAATTCCTGATGTTCTGTACTCAAAACACTCAGTTCATCAACAAATAATCATCTACAGATATATATGAGGTGAGAGGAAAATTAACATTGTTAAAGTTGATGAACTACAAAACAGTCAAGTTCAACTGTTAAACACTTGAGAGGCTACCACCAAATGCTACTAAACCAGAAAACTATAAATTTCATCCTAGGTAAACTACTGGCTTTATTAACTATAAAACCAAAACCTTAGAAATTCTCAACTTGTGCAAATTCCTACAGTTCCTAATAACTATTATTTGTAGGCATGGAATGAATATGATACTTACAGGTTCAGTATGGATGGCTCTCTTCACAAGAGCTGTGGGGGTTAGTTCTGTGGAAGTTCTGCCAAACATGCCACAGTCTATAATCACCTGGGATAAGAATCTTAAATGGAACTGCCTAGATGAGTTTTGCCTGTGGGCATGTCTATGAATGATGTTCTTAATTAGATCAACTGAGGGGCAAAGACCCACTCTAAATGTGGGCAACATCATCTCTTGGGCTGGGCCTCAGACTAAGTAAAAAGTTGAGCAGTGGCATGTATGCATTCTCTTTCTGCTCTTGTCTGTGGATGGAACTGGTTGCTCCCAGTTCTGGACACCTTACTTCCCTGCAATGACACACTGTGACCTGGAATTATGAGCAAAGTTGGCCCTTTCTCCCTCAAGTGGCTATTGTCAGAGTATTAATAGCAACAGGAAAGCAAACTAAGATCTGTGTGCTAAGCTGACAACAAATTATTCTTTCATTTTATATCTAGTTCAAATTTTGAACCATAATAAAGGTGTGAGGGATGGGAATAAGTAATTTCAGTATACTTACACCATACATGGGAGGGTGAAGAGGGCAACCAGAATTTCACGGTAAACCTCAACTGCATATCGAGTTTGAGGCCAATCTGGGCTTGTGTGTGTGTGTGTGTGTGTGTATCAATTGTTGCTCAAGTCCAAATTAACAATTTTTCTTTCAAAAGTTTTATTTGTTAACATACACAAACTGATAAGCTCAAGACTTCTGCTTATGCTGACTTCTAGAACTTTCTCTTAATTAAAAACTATATAATTCAATCTATTTTAGGTAACTTTTATATAGTACAAAGTTATTACTCACAATTTTTGTTCCAAATAGATACCCAGTAATCCAACAAAACAAATCTCTATTGATTTATATTCTTATGCCAAAAACCCATTAATATATATGTCAGGGTAAGACAATGCAGAGCTTCCTCCATGTCAAATAGTTGATGAAGCCATTTTAGGTTTAACTTGATGGGAAGCTCCTTAGAAACTTACCCAACTCTATTCTAGGAATCTGAAGTCATGATATTCCAGCTAGCTTATCCTAGCTTCTATTAAGCTGCCTGCTTGTCCTTCACCTAACTGCTTAATCTTAGCTTCTGTTTAAACTGCTTCCTTGTACAAAACCTCCCACTGAAGCTGCCAAGTAAGACTCAGGATGTATTTCTTGCCTTTAAAAATCACTTACTCTAAACATGCAGTACTACACTGGGGGCCCAGCCAACTGCAACAAAGACGTACAATTGGCTGCCAACTGTGTTATCTCTGGTGGGTTCTCCCTAACATATCTGTGTGTGTACTAGTGTAAGAATCTACTTCCGGACCTTACTGTGCCATATTGATGTGGCTATATTTACACTTACCTATTATTTTGTCTAGTTGTACATTTTAACAAGAAATTATCAAATATATATACTAATGTGCTATTTTTCCAAGGTTGTGTGGTTACTCAAGCATTTTGCACTTCAAAATTTTGATGGTAGTTTCACAAATGCTATCTAAAAAAATTGTTTTCTTATTGTCATTCTGTTGAATACATGTCAGCATGAAAACTGGCATTTCACAGTCCTGAGGCTTTCAACCCCTGATGTGCAAGCCTCAATACTCAAGTTTACCTTCTCACTGGAGAATACAGTATACAAGTCTTTTATCAAATCTATTTCCTCACTAGCTCACAATTTTGTGCTATTCTAAGTGGCATGCAATTTTCTCATTAACTGTTACTTATGTAGAAATGAGGTTGTAAATTCACTTGCATCTGAGTTTTAAATCAGGAGTGAACATTGCTATTGTCAAATGTTTCCACGACTACCAAAAGAACGTTTGCTTTGTGATACTGTTAGATTTTTCTCATTATCCCAAATTTGCATTTTTGAGAATCTCCTTTGGCTCTCCATCTTTTTAACAGGCTGCTGGATTTGAACTACTAAGATGTGATGTGGGATTGTGTGCATTTGAATCAGGATGCTGGTCTTTGTGAGTTGGTTATCATACCCTGGTTTTACAGTGCCATAAGCACTTACTCAGAACATGCTGTTTTCTTTAAATATATGAAAGAACTAATCAGTTTTCACACTTGGCATGCTTTTCTCAGAAATACCTGTAGAATAGGTGATTCCTTTTATTCCTGTTACGGATCATTTCTTATTCTCAGTAGTGTGGCTGGTAGCTTATCAGTTTTATCGCTTAAGAACTGGCTTTTCACTATTTTCTCCCAATTGATTTTGTTCCCATTGCATTCTGTTTTCCTCTCTTTTTCTCACTTTGGAGCTGACATTACTTTTCTACTTGCAGATGGAAGCTTGGGTCATTGAATATAGGAATCTTTCCTAAAATAAGCTTTTGATGCTATACATTCCTCTACAAACACTACACAGTGTGGTTTCCACAATTCTTAGGGATTTATCTTTATTCAAGAGGAAAAAAGAGATGAGGGCAATAGGGGTGGGGAGACAGAGGGAGAGAGAATGGTTGCAGAGGCCAAAGTAGGTTATCAAACTCTGGAGTTACACAAAGTTGTGAACCACCCAAGGTGTATAGCAAACCCTCTGGAAGAGCAGTATGTTCTCTTAACCACTGAGTTTTCTCTCCTGAATCTCACTTTCATTTTCATTCAACTCAATACACAAATCATTTTACTTATCATATTTAAAGTTTATATATTCATGTTTAAATGGCATTTCCTGTGTTTAGTTCAGCTGGGACTGTCTAAAGATTTCAATCTGGTAACAAAACTAACCGTAACAACCTAGTCAATCTCGCTGCTTATTTGTCCCATAATTTGTTTACCTTCTTTTGGACTTGTGTATGTGTGTGCATTAATGTTTACTAGTGCAGCACACGGGTGCCACAGTGCACAAGCAGAGTGAGAAGACAATCAGGAATGTCAGTCTTCACCTCCCAGAGTGTTTGAGGCAGGGGCTTTTGTTTGCTGCCGGTAAGTCAGTCCATAGGGTTGACCCACAGGCTCCAGGGTTCCATTTCTGCCCCACACTTCACAGAAGATACAATATGGCCTGCACAGTTATGGGTCCTAGGTATTCAAACACCCATTCCCAGACAGCTTGGGTTTTTGTGGTCCTCACTGTTTTATAGCTGTGTCTTATTGTTTTTACTAGTTTATTAGGTACTTATAATTTTGTTTTCTGTTACAGCTGACATTCTTCCTATAGCAGTCTACTTCCAGGTAGTGTCATCCTGCTTCAGTTAGTATGAACACCCCAAGGCAGGACACTTCACTGCATCCTCCTAACCTCATCATAGTCCTACGCCACCTTCACCTTGGTTAAGAATGCAGTAACATTTTACATTTGCCTTTGAAAACTGGAAAATGCTTTTAGTATTTAACACTTTTGGTCTTTGTTGCTTTGTGTAGTTGTAATTTTATGGTATCCTTTTCCTTTGTGAACATTTCCTGTAGCTCCTCTCTTTGTGGTAGAACTCTTTCAGCCTTTCTAGATCTGAAGAAAAAGTTTTATTTCGTTTTCATTTTTGAAAATCATTTCCACTGATTATAAATCTGAACTGCAGATCCACCTTCAGAACTTTGAACACTCTCTGCCATGACATCCTTTTCCTTCTCTGTTCTTTTTCTTCAGCTTCTTTTTTCAATTTTCCTTGCTGGCTTTAAGAAAATTGTTGTTATCTGTTACATTGAGTATCCTGAGTATCTTATCAGGGGTAACTGTGCTGTAGTGCCTAATGCTAATACATAGCAACTATTCTGCATATCTTTTATCTTTTGTTTTCAAATTTTCAATGGGAAGGTAAGTTAATCCCTATTATTCCATTTCAGCCAGATGCAAAAAGTTCAAGTTCAGATTGTCTATGTTTTGAATACAAAAAATGTATTTACTGTACTCAGCATTTAAATCCATGGCAAGTGCTTTATCTATATACACACACAATTACTAAATCGTTTTATCAGATCCCTTTTAATAACAATATATATACACCTATAAAAGGGGGAATAGGAAAATATTAATAGATCAAAATATAGCATATAGACAAAGTACTTCTGCATTCTAATTTGCTTGAGTTACATATAAGGAAACTTGTTACAAGTCATAATGCTGACATAGCCGCCAAGAAAAGACCACAGCATCAACTGGGAAAAGTCAAATTCTTGTCCTGTTTTGGAAATAATTATTCATTGGTTTATACTGATTAAATGTATCCTTATACCTTCTATTACTTTAAAAAGTCTAAAGGTAGCAAACCAAGCGACATTTTAGTAAATAGTTTGATCCCAGAAAACAAAACTGAACAACAGATCTCTATACAAAGTACATAGTTGAAATCTTTGGGCAAGAGGCAGTAAGAATGTAAATGGATGAGTAGCTCTCCTAATCCAATCCTACGAAACTGTAGATGGCATCAGGCAGATGAGCATGACCCACCTGCTCCAACATGTAAATTCTTTTCATAATGAACCTATATAAATAATGCTATGGTAAGACAAGCAATACAAAAATACTATTTGTAGCATACTATAATTAAGAAAGTTATTGGTATAAAACACAGGAAAAATAATCTATGCTTTTCACTTAAAAGGAAAAATGTCAATTTTGTGATATTTAGTATCTTATAATAAATTCTCATTGATTATAAGTTGAGCCATGGTGATTAAAACCTTATAGTATGATTTTGCATACCATTAATTCATTAGACAATCAGCAGATGTATAGCCCTTGAATTTCTAAACCTTCATAAGTTTTTCAAATGTAAAGTTTGGTAACCAGAATAGAAAGCCCTCAGAAACAGAAATGCCAAAGGTACTATGTATCTGTACCACTCAAAACATATCACACATACAACCAATAAATAAGTAATACCTGATGTCATCATGCTAACAAAATAATTACTTCTCAGTAGTGTGAAAAAAATCCAATTGCCACTTTAAAATTATTTCTTCATAAAATAGAAGGTACACAAATGTTTTAAATGTTGACTACCTAAAAAAAAAATTAGAATACAATTTGTCCATCAAAAATATATGTTTTAAAAAGTCATTTACAAAACAAAAAAAATACCCTTATATGCACATTTCTTCTCTTAGGAAAAGGGCACTTAGTGTATGGCTAAGGCGTTCAGAACATAAAGATCCTGTTCCCTAGTAGGAAGATGGTATTCTGTGCAGTTTTAATATAAAAATATAAATATGTCTGACTGAGATGGAATAGTGCCTGCTGCAAAATCCACTGTCAAGGTCATGAAAATAATATTGATTCTGTGCCATTCTTAGTTGCCGGAAACTTCCCAAATCATAAAAAAGTAAGGTATTGTGAGTCTTCAGAAGTGGGTCCGCAGTCTTTTGTTCTCCTCTCGAAGCCTTTCGATTTCAGCCACCAAGCCTTCATTGACCGAGTACCTTTCCAGCAAAGAGTGTATTTCATTCTGGAAAAGTAGGGAATGGCTTTTAACTTACTGGCTCTTCACACTACTCAGCAGGCTGTGTTTTCCACACACTCAGCTGTCACTTCTTTTATGCTCAATTAACTAGGTAAATGGTATTTCTTGGATTTAACCACAAAGATTATCAGAGAAATTAAATATCCAGAAGATTTACAGTCACACATTTGGGAATCTTTCTGCTTACTCATCAAAGAACAAATCTGTGAGAAAGAACCCTCAACTATCAAAAGTTCAAAAGTAGGAGAGCAGCTAAGATCTGCTTCACTTGTTAAGATGTCTGCAGCTCCACTTATCTTGGCAATTAGCTGTGACATCAAGTAACAGTGTATTGGTTTCGCATAGACATTTTTTCTCAGATCCACACACTCTACATTCTTTAGGACACTATTTGCTATACATACCAGTTGCATATGAAACTGTTTAATCATCTCCACTTGCAAATTCACAATGTCCCTATGGCAAGTTTCCCTAGGAAGAATATAAAGCCCTGTTAAAACTCTACAGTGTAACAACACTAAACCATTCATAAAGCATATTCATTAATACATGAGTCAGTATTAATCACAGGTATGCCAGTGCACGGCGATGTTTACTGTGTGCCTGACAGTACAGTGATTCTTTAACCTGAAAATCGAGGAACTCATTCATCTTCACAGTGATAACAGACATTTTGCCAATGAAGAAATGGAGACAGAGCTGTCCTAATTCACCTAAAGTCTACAAAGGGCTCAACAGGTTGCCAGCCAGGCTGTCATCCTCTAGTGCTCAGTGTGCCACACCCCTTCTTAAGGAAAGGGTCGCTGTGGAGAGACAGACTAGTAAGCAAGTCAGAGAGCTCACTGTCAATGTCTTAGCTACTGAAAAGAAGACCTGACAGTAGAAGGCAGCCATTTGTTTGGCTCTAACTACTTCATGCTTATAAAGGAATCAAAAATGAGTAACTCTAATAAAATGACAATACACTACAGCACACTTTATCAAACCATGGACGCTCCCATGTGTTCCCATCTGATATCACTGCTTAACTCTTTCAGACAATCTTAAGTCTGAACATTACTGACCAAAGAAATGCTTTTCTTTAAAAATGTATCAGCATAATATGTAATGTGACTTAATGTTTGCGCCATGCTTGCTTTTAAACATTACAAAAAAAAAAAAAAAAAAAAAAACAAAAAAAAACCAAAAAAACCAAAAAAACAAAACAGAACAGTACCACGCCCTAGGAAGCGCTCAGTGGTTTAGGACATCGTTTAGAAATCCCATGTTGTAAGTGCCATACTCCTGTATTAGCAATCCCCTTGTTGTACCCCGTGCCCATCCTCCTGGCAACTGACACCTGACCTGCTTTCAAATGGCATTATTCCCATTTATTGTAGGCAATCTCATATGCACCTTCAACTTACACAATGCAGTGTTTGTAGTAACACACGAGGTATTGAATTTTCATTATGCCCACATTTTTATATGGAACTGTATGTGTACACACACACACACACACACACACACACACACACACACACACACCCCTCTCTCTCAATTAATACACTCTGGTGTCCACACAGGACTCACTGCACACTGGGCATAGATTTGTTTACTCGTATGCACACAAATGGCTTTACTGAATGGTAGAAGGATGAATTCATTTTACCACCAACACAACAGAGTTCTGCTCTTGCCCTGTCATTTCACCAAAGCCAGGTATTAGCACACTTTCTACACTACTTTGTCATGAAAGTGACATGGTGTCACATTAAATCTTCCATTTTCTGATTAGTGAAGTGGTTGAGTACTTTTCTGAGTTCACACACTGTTCCTCTTATGGAATATGCTGTTGATGAATTTTTACTAGTCATCATAAAGTTTTTTGACAAGGTCTCACTTTGTAGTTCAGGCTAGCTTGGAATGCTCCTGAATGCTGGGATCATAGGCATACATTATCTCATCTGACTCACTGTAGACCTACAAAATCTGCTCCTTTGCTGGCCATGAGATTAAGGATTTTATTCATGAGAACATAAAGCCATTTGTATTTCATCTTTTGAAACTCTATGTTTAACTCCCTGGGCCACTTCTCCATTGTTTCTTTCTTTCTTTTTTTTTGAGTACTTAGATACTAACCATCTGTCAAATATATCACTGAAAGACTTTGATTCTTCACTCCAATGATGTCTTTTGCTATGTAAAAGCTTTTTAGTTTTAAGTCATCCCATTTGTCAATTGTTGGTCTTAATGCCTATGCTACTGGGGTCTGCTCAGAATGTCCATTTCTATGGCAATGAGTTCAGACTTATTCCCTACTGTCTACCAGAGTCAGAATAGCAGGTTTAATGTCAAGGTCCTGTTCAAGCCTATTCCCTACCATACTCTACTGTCTACCAGAGTCAGAATATCAGGTCTAATGTCAAGGTCCTGATCCACTTGGAGTAGAGCTCTGTGAAAGAAAAGAGAATGATCTAGTTTCATTTTTCTACACGAGCTATCCAGGCTAACTAGCATGAAGATGCTGTCTTTTCTCCTGTGCATTTTCAGCTCCTTTGTCAAAAACTCACATGATAGGTATATGAAAAGTCTGCGTCCTCAATTCTACACTACTGAACAGTATGTCTGTTCCTATGACAGTATGCTGTTACTTTTATTATTATAGTTCTGTAGTATAACATAGTCAGGGATCGTAATGTCCCTAACAGATCTTTTATTGCTCAGAATTATTTGGCTACCCAGTATTTTGTGTTTCCAAATGAAATTTAAGATTAATTTTCAATTTTTATATAGAATCATATTTCAGTAACTTTTGGTAGGACAGCCATTTTTGCAATATTAATCCTAATTCATAAGCATGAGAGTCTTTCTTATGCTCAGGTACCTTCTTCAGTTTCTTTCTTCAATGTCTTCTATTTTAATCACTTTCATTTGTTTTATTATTACTTTTAAGCTTTTTAATTATACAGACTTGTATATAATTATACAGACTTACTTCCTTAGTTAGATTTACCCCCACCACTCTTCTCCCCCCAGACCCCTCAGGCTATTATGAATTGGATTGTTTCTCAGAAATAAGACACAAACTCCTATTACCCGAGGAGCCACTAGCATTTGGTAGCTCCTGGGAAAGAGAGAGTCATCTTTCTTTAATGACATGGCCTTGGGACAGTGATCACACCTCAGGGCAGGACCTACTCCCAAGAGTAGTTGGGTAACAATCCCAAAAGTAGTTAGAGTGTGCGCATTAAGACAACTCACTCTGTAGACCAGGCTGGTCTCAAACTCACAGAGATTTTCCTGTCTCTGCCTCCCAAGTGCTGGGGTTAAAAGTGTACCACCACCACCAAATTTTCAACAGAAGAATCCCGACTGGCCAAGAAACACAACAGATTCAACATCTTTAGCCATCAGGGAGTTGGAAATCAAATTGTCTCTGAGATTCCATTTTACACCTGTCAGAATGGCCAAGATCAAGAACACATGGCTCATGCTGGAGAGGACATGGAACAAGGAGAACATTTACGCATGGCTGGCAGGAGTGCAAACTTCCACTACACTGGAAGTCAGTGTAGCAGTTACTCAGAAAACTGGAAATCCATCTACCATAAGACCCAGCTATACCACTCCTGGGCATACATCCAAAGGATGATCAATCATACCATAAGAACTCCTGCTAAACTATGTTCGCAGGAGCATAATTTCTAATAGCCAGAATCTGGAAACAACTTAGATGTCCCTCAACTGAGAGGAATGGATAAAGAAAATATAGTACATTTACAAAATGGAGTTTTACTCAGCTATTAAAAACAAGGACACCAGGAAATTTGAAGGCAAATAGATGGAACTAAAAAAGAAAAAGAAATAAATCAGATAACCCAGACCAAGAAAGACAAATATGGTATGTACTCACTTACAAGTGGATATTAGTTGTAAAAATAAAGGATAACTAACTATGCTACAATCCACAGACCCAGATAGACTAGGTAACAAGGAGAGTTCATGGGGGGTGGGGGGATGCCCAAATCTCTCTGGGAAGAAAAATAAGAGATCTGAGTGGACCAAGGGTGGGTGGGGATTGGGAACACAAGCATTCAGGTTGGGATGGGGACAGAGGGGGAGAATATTGAAAGAGACTATTGGAGGGGAGGGGGCACATTTCAGGCTGTGATACAAACCTGACATAAGGAAATCTCCCAGGAATCTATAAGGATGGCCCCAGCTAAGACTCCTAGCTGGGAGCCTGAATGGTACTAACCTAGGCCCTCTGATATATGTGACAGTTGTATAGCTTGGTCTTTTTGTGAGACTCCTCACCGTGGGAGCAGGGTCTGTCTCTGACTCTTTTACTGGCTCCTGGGACCCTACTCCTCATACTGGATTGTCTGGACCAGCCTCAATATAAGGGTGGGTTCTTAGTCCTTCCTGCAACTCTATATGCCATGTTTGGTTGATATGTGGTGGACAAGGGGAGGAGGCAGGAAGGTACTGAGAAGAGAGGAGGGTGGGAAATGGGGACAGGACGGTAAATAAATAAATAAATAAATAAATAAATAAATAAATTATATTTTAAAAAAGAAAGAAATCTCAAAGTTGGGTGGGTAGGTAGGATGGGTATGGAAGAGAAATACAGTTTGAAATTCCCCAGAATTTATAAAAATATTATTTTAGGAAGACAATTTCTTCCTATAAAGGTTAGATGCATTCCCAGGTAACTTAATTTTCTGGTTGCAACTATAACAGATTTAATTTTTCTTCTAAGTTTCAGTGATAAAAGATGTATTAAAAAACAGAAAGTGTTAGGGATGCAGTTCAGTGGTCGAGCATGTGCCTAACGTGCCTCAGTCCCAGGGTTGTGTCTGTTCTCCAGCACAATAATAGAAAATTTAAAAACTGAAAAGAATTTAGGATTATATATTTAAAATAAAAAAAGAAAGTATTAGAAAGGTTGGAGGCAAAACTAGCAGAGCACTTGCCTATCATCCATTTGGCCCTTATTATGGTTCCTAGGAAAACGACAACAAAAGACAATACAAAGAAAAAAGCAAGAGACAACCATGCCAGGTCCATACACACCTCTGCTTTTCCATCATGCCGGCATAGTTATTCCAGTATGGCAAAGCAGGCTGAGGTGCAACAGGGGCCTGGTGCTTGACATACTCTTTCCAGGTAGGGGAAGATACCCTTCCCTTTAAGAGCACATGGCTACCAAGAAAGGCAAGGTGAGAGGCTTGAGATCCTAAAGAGGACAGGCCTATAGAAAGGCGAGTCTGATGTTTATGATGCACGCCTGGGAGCTCCTTGCTGGTACATGTACTGGACTGGATGCCAGGAAAGCAAAAATAAAGTAGCAGCTGAGGAGCAGAGAGCATTTGGACATTCTTGGGGTGTTGGAAAAAGGAGACCAAGATTAAAAGATGGAGCGAACAGTCCCACAAGGGCAAAGACTGAGTCATGGGAATAAAGGGAAAGTAGAGTAAACTAACTCTGAGAAAACCCAAACCCAGGAACTACAGAGTCAAAGAACCTGCCTGACAACTGAAAATCTTGAAAAATCGCTTATGACACCACCTCTCAATGCTAACAGCATAGATGACAAGCCTGGTCATCTATGAAACAGTAACTGTTAAAATTATCCAGAGTTGCAAATAAGAAGAAATTTAAACTAAAGTCAAAGAAAAGACAAGTTCTTCCTGGGAAAAAAAGAGGCCCAAGACTCTAGACTGAGCCTGTGCAGGAGAAGCTCCCCTTGGGAAGATGAAGAGAACTAGCTAAAAATGTCTATAGATTTTAAAGGCCAACTGGAGACTGGCCACAGAGTTTAGAATCCCAAGAGCCTCTGCTGTCAAGTCTGCACTGACCAACTCCCTTTAACCGCAATACTCCCTCCCCTGGACCTTCACTAAGTGCTTCTATTAAAAATAAGGGAGGAGCAGAGGCACAGGGTTAAAAGAGAGTCCCAAAGTCACAGAGCAAGTGACATCTCATGGCGGGGAACTAGCTCCTCTAGAGAGGAGCTACCATGAGAGTTAAAGGAAAAGGCCGAGTCCCTTCCACTGCCCCTCTGTGCCCACAATGGCAGGGGTAACTGTATATAACCCACATGAAGCAGAGACAGAGCAACTAACTGAGAGGCCCTGAGTCGCTTGGACCCCAATGCACAGAAAGGCAGGACAGACTCAGTAAAAGAGACAAACCCTGGCAATGCACCGAGGTAGCTGCAGTAGAGAAGCAGACAACAGTTCCCCTGGGACACAGATCCTCGTCCTGCTGAAGGGAAGGCCTGAGCCCGTCTCTGTAGAAGCAGCAGACATCAGTGTGAACTGACCCTCAAATGCAGCAGAACCACCCCACCACTCCTGTGCTGAAAACCTTTCTATGGACTCTGTGTTTTGTCCCTCATAAATACTCTCCCTGCTGGCCACAGGTCCTCCTTCTCTATGCAGACATTCTTAGAAATTATAACCATGTCTCTTCCCATGCTGTTCCCACACACTTCAATGTAAAACAGAAATCTCTTCAGCAAGGCCTTTCTAAATTTGCCCAAGAAAATTGCTCCCTCTCTGTGTTTCCAACATTATTTTATTTGCACTAGACTCAGCTGTTATCCAGACAGTTTTGCTATTAGGCCATAAATATTTATGCAGTGTTCAAAACCCCTTATATCTTTTAAAGCCATGCACTGAAAATATGAGAGAAAGGACTAAGGAAACCACTTACAACCTAAGCCACTGTCTAAGTATAGTACTAACAAAAAACAAGTCCTACTAAAAATACCAGTTCAATTAAAAAGCATGGTCAAAGTCTGATACATAGGTACTGAATATGATTTTACTGAGCAAAACCTAATGGAAGGAGAAAGGAGAACAGAGTGAGGATGTGAAGTCATGAGAGCACAGGAAAACATGCCCAGGATAGGGAACAATCACAAGACAAAGGCTTTCAGAAAAGGCCACACAGCCACCTCGCGCCAGGAAGGAAGGAAGGAGAGGAGCAGGGTTTCTGAATTTGCTCTGTTCAGGTATCTACTCTAGTCCAGTTGTTGCTACATGACACAATTTCCCTGACATATTGTCAATAGTGCTCTATTTGGCAATCTTGAATGAATTAATTCACGTGTAAACACATACTCATCAGGATGCAATCTATTCATTCCAAAGAAACTATGGCTACAGTGGGAAGATTCCCACTTTTGTATTCTTAATATCTGACACATAAACTAGGCACACCATAATTATCAAAAAGACAATTTTTCAAAATGAAAATTTCTAATATTTAAAAATACATTTTAAAAATATTTTAAACATTAAAAGGAAATGTTTAGTCAAATGCTATACCACTGAGCTATACTCCGTAAAAAAAATATGTGTAGCTCAGGCTGGCCTTGAGTTACAATGCTGTAAAATAGTAGTGTAATTTTTTTTAAGGATCCATCAAAACATCTTAAAATAATAAAAATTGAATGTTAATCTAAAAAGAATGTGCACCAATAAAAATTATATATCTCTGATTTTCTTCTCATTATAATCCATAATTACAATCTCTCTCTTTCCCTCTCTATCTCTCTCTTACACACACACACACACACAAATCTCAGTAACTGAAAATTACTTCCAAACTCTGAAATAACAATGAAAAGGATACGGTAGCAACACTGTAGATAGAACATGTACCTTAAAAAAAAAATTGTTTGATCCCGCAAATTTCAAAGAATATACAGATAATCCCAATATCTTAATATTCTCTGAGTGAAAAAAATCAATTTTAATTTATGATGACCTAATATCCTAGTGCCATACCTAAAGGCAATAGGAGGAACAGTCATCAAAACATTACTTCATAATGAAAATTCAAATGATGGGAAGAACAAAGTTATAGAAAGATCATCTATTTATTTGTAACATTCTGATGTACTCTATCTGAAAATATTTAGAATTACATTTAAAAGGTTTCAATTGGTCAGGCCTACAGGCATTTGCTGTCAAGCCCAGAATCCCCAGAGCGGGAAAAGAGAACTGTCCCTGCAAGTTGACCTGTCTTCCACGTGTGTGCTGTGACATATGCTTCCCCCATCCCAGTGCCCACAGAAAATATAAAGCAAGCATAAAAGTCTATGTTTCACACATCATTTCCTGGAGTGCACTTACAGGTGATCTATAAATCCTGCATGCAAGAACTACATCTGAGTACATACAAATGTGCTACACTCTGAAGATTAAGACTGAATCTGCAAGGGCATCCTGCACACTGGACTTTTCCATCAGGTTATCTTTCTATTTGCTCCAGACAAAGGTCCCTTTCCAAAGTGCAGTACAGAATGATAAAATTTCCTGTTTTCTATGATTTTGTGGTCATCAGAACCTAGACACACACAATTACCAATGTGAATTCTGGTTCTGGTTTCACACACAAAAAAAACAAACTGAGTGACTAGAGGAAGAACAGCTAGTCAGTGCTACCTGAAGTCATCCAAAGTTTCTTGTATCATGTTCTGAATGAACCGGATTTGAACAGAGGTCAAGGGTGCATTTGGCCGACTGTTCCCAAGGGTATCGACTATTTTTTCTGAGAGCGAACTGGCTACTCCAGCAGTGACAGAGGACGTTACCTTTGGAACTAAAACAAATGGAGAAAATAGTAATAGTTAAGTTGTACTAAGAGAAATCAAACATTTCTGAGTAAGAGTTGGTAAAGGAAGATTTGAGAAACTGCAAAAGAACAACATGCCTGTGACATTTAGAAAAACCCACTGTCTGGAATACAAATTTTACAAACATTCTACGTCATTATCTCTAATAGTCATTTATCTGTATATAGAAACTGCCAACTGTCTAATGTAATAACACACGACAGAGGGATTAGTCTGGAAGAAGCCCGGAACCATTCCTCTTATAAAAGACGCATGTGACAAGCTGCACCACAAACCAGATAAGCCAGGACGATTAGGAACAAACAAGAGGAACATGGGAGCCAAGCAGAGCCACAGGCGAAGGCCTGGAGTTTAACAAGTGCAGTGGACTTGCCTCTCCGGAAAGGATTCTCTCAGGCAGCTCTTACAGATCAACTCAGCTGGCTTAAATGCAACCGGGTCTTAGGAGTCTACGGCATAAATTCTAAGGATAAATCTTCAATACTTTTTTTTAAAATAGATTTCAGATATTTAACCATGCCTTTTCAACAAGTCCTACTTCATTCTCTGAACACTAAATTAAACCAAACCCTTGTACGTTTGAACAAACCAGTGTTGCTGGATTTAAGCACTCAGGCCTTCTAACAAAAAAGGAGAACTCATGATGGTGAGTGGTCTACAAACCCAAAATTCTTTTAACTTCACTGTGGTCTCTCCTTATCCCTTACTAGGGAAATAATTATGTAATTTCCTACTTCACATTTTGAAACACAAGGACATTCAATGTGCTTACTTGGAGTTGAGGATCCATAGACTGAGGGGTCATGAATCAACTGGGCTTCGGTTTCTTTTTCTGGCTTTTCAAAGTTTTCTAGATTTCTTATTTGGTTAGATGATGGAGAGGGATTCAGAATTCCAGGCTCAGCACCAGAGGAGATCAACTTTGTAAACTTTGTATTTAAAAGAAAAGAGTGATTTTAATATGCCATTTCTTACTTGACCCTATTACCCACAAAAATTTTTATCTAGTTCTCACAGTCCTCCCCCACCCCAAAGTATGTAGGAGTCAGGGAAATGAGGAACAAAGAGAGATTGAGAAGGACCTAATACTAGCAGCAAAGCAAGTTAATAATTAATAAAATTATTAATTAATAATGAATAAAGATGTGAATATTACAAAAAGCGAATCTACTAAGCACTTGTTAATTATACTCCAATGCAAACCACTGTGAAGAGGAAGGGAGGCCGTCACTAGACACTGCCACATTAACTAGACAGAAATATCTGAAATGAAGACATTCTTGTACTTCTGACTTGAGTATCTTTTACGTTCTCGGTTTAGATATGAGAAAACAAGCTAGTCTTGACCTTCCCGCAACCTTTGGCCCCAAGGTGCCAACACTAGTAGTTCTTAGCCCCCTAGACTTGCTCTAACACTACGAACGACGTGACCAGCAGCTTGCTTTGGGCTGCAGTGGAAAAATCTTTTAAAAGAATGTGTTCCCCTTCTCTGCTATGTCTTCCCTTCTCTCTCTACGTAAGAAACCAGGGTTTTTCACTTCAACACTACTCACAGCAGACAGTTAACTGAAAATATGGGTGAAGACGATTCACCCACTGTTTTGGCTTTACTTCTTAGACAGAAGAATTAGCTGGAACTTCCATTTCCTCAATGAAAATGAAGAATGTACACAGACACAGAGTTACAATATACATTATTTTATCTTGATTTTCTCTTTTAAACCTGAAGTTCCTTTCCTTGCCTTCATGAGAATAAAAAGGTATCTTCTGCACACAGACAAGGTTCTGACAGGCTTCAAAGCTGTTCTTCAGTTATTAAAAACTGGCATAAAGATTTAAAACCCGGGCCGCCCTTTTTGAGTGACAAACCCTGAATTCAGGTATTATGTTTCTGTGGGTACCTGCTTCAAGGAGTCCTTCGGCTCCTGCTTCCCCAGGAATGTTTTCTTCGTCTCAGTGGTCAGATCATGACTTTCATTTTCCTCTTTCCCTGGAGAATCCATAAAGACATTAAGAGGACTGGAGTGCAACACCAGAGTGCCGGAAGTGATTGGATTTTTTCTTGAGGTGAACACTGAGTTCAGTTGTGCTAGAAAGTCAAGACCTAAAAAAGGAGAAGAAATGCCATTTACACACGACATTTACCAACCTGAAACACTTGGTATAAACACTTATTTAAAATGATGGCAGGTATTTGGCAGAAGACGGGACTTGGGTTCAGAGGACTGGCTTATTTCTTAGAATTTCCCAGAACTGCTGTGGATTTGGGAGTGCATCTTTTCACAGCCTAAACTCTATTTCCTATGTGCCAGTGTGGAGAGCCTTTAGACATACACGTGGCCAGGCACACTGCTGCACTCCAGAGGCTTAAGAAAGACCAAGGTGTGCAAGGCCAGCCTGGACTACGAGACAAGAACATCTTTTCTTTTCTTGTGAAAATGCTTTGAAAACTACAAAGCACAATCAATGTTTTAGACAGCACTGGTGCTTGATAACTGTTTTCATCTGTATGTGGCTGTGGCAGCCTGGAAGATGACCCCTGATGCCTTTGACCTCCATGCAGTGTGCATTCCTCTGTTTGTGTATGCATGAGTTAGACTAAGAAAACAAACATGGAGAAAGTGGATTGTTGTCACTTCCAAGGTCAGTCACAGTGTGGCTTCTCTCTCACTGCCCACTCTGAGGAAAGCAACTGCTCTGTTGTCATTGTAACTGAGAGGACACCCGAAGGGCAGGAAGTACTCTCTCCTGTCAAAAGCCACACAAATGAGCAGGGAAGCAATGCTGGATGCAGCTCAAGGAAGGAACATCTGAAGCCAAAGAAGCCACATGGTGCTGAACTCACAGGGACAGTGAGATGCCAAGTGTTTACTATTGAAAGCTAAAGGAGTGGGGAAGTTGTTACACAGCAGCCCTGACAGCATTGCTTCTGATTTTCATGAAAATATTTCCTGAGATTTCTTACCATCTCCTTTGCCTGCAGATTCATCAACTCCTTTGTTAACTACACCATCTACAATGAAATAACAAAATCAAGTTATGTTTTATTCACAACATTTTTAATAATAAACTTCAAAAATTTTCAAAATTGCCCAAAATAAATAAAGGAAGGAAGGAAGGAAGGAAGGAAGGAAGGAAGGAAGGAAGGAACCGTAGCCTGTAGTGGCTTGGCTTCCTACTGCTCTCCAGAGAGTCTGGAGACTGACACTCTTGAGTATGACTAAAGTCAAGCATCATCTTGATCATCAGGAGACTAACACAGAGTTGGTTCCCTCTGATTCTTTTTGGTTCTCACAGAACAGCAAATATGAAGGCTCATCCTATGCTCATGTAAAGAGACAGTTGGGCATAAACAAGCTGGAAAATAAGTGCCAATGATCAGCAACACAGTTTCACTGGCTCTATCTGGTACTTTTTTTTTATTTGGGGCAAGCTTCTAAAACAGTTAAACTATAATTTTTACATATTTATACTAGAGATAATGGCTTGATTATCTCAAAAAATCATTTGGGTAATTAATTGAAATAAGAATATTTTACAAGCATTATATCATGAAAATCACCTGGCTTTACTGATATTAACTTCAATCACAATATTGTAATTATTAATTTACCAATATATAGCAAAAACTGAACTCAGTGGTCACATATTAACACAAGACTGGGCAAAAGCCAGTAACAGATTCACCAGAAATACATAGGGCCAATAAGCAAATGAATGCCTAGCCAGAAGTCTTGCTAGCTGCGTATGTAACTACACATCACATACTAACCCACTCTTCTCTGTTACCTAGTAACTATACCTCATATTAACACACTTTTCTCTAACTCTCACTGCACCCCCCAACACATGCACACTCACATTCTTTTTAAAGTTCTTGGATTCCTCTTAATATAAAAATTATTTTATCAGATGAAGAAACTGAGGCACAAAGATTAACCTTTTCCTTAGAGAACTGCGCCCTTGAGACTGACCAATTCAACAAAAGCAAGTATGATATTTGACCAAGTTTTCCTTACCACAAAGATGAAGTCCCAAGAAATGGAGATATATACCTCAAATCTTACATTTGAAAAACAGTACTGCAACTAAAAGAACAGCTAGACTGCTCATGAATTTTTACTTAGACACTGCAAAAGTCTCCTCCTTTAGTCTTAATAGAAAAGTTGCTCTCTTCCCCCCCTCCAAATCCCTGTGTGTGTGTGTGTGTGTGTGTATAAATTGTCTACTATGAACACTTAGCTTTTTTTCTGGCTTTTCAATATTATAATTAAAACAGTAAACACAAATCTTACAGATGTCTCTGAATATTTTCTTAGGTAAACTGGTAGAAAAGGAATTAACACGCCAGAAAGTATGAATAATTTAACTGTCAAACTATCAAACTGCCCTCTTGATAGTTGCCTGGATTACTGATGATACTGCTATTAGCACTGAACCCATCCCATTAAAGAATGTGAGCCTCAGTAGAACTAAAAAGCACAACTGGACAATGATATGCATTGTGTCTATGCATCAAGGTGGCAAAGGCTCCTTTTGAATGGTGACATCTACAGGGTGGTGGCAGAGATGATGAAATATACACATGAAGCTATCATGTGTAAGTGCAAAAGAAGAGGCAATCTATTACCCAGCCAGGAAAGCATGGAGTAAACATCAGGAAAATGCTGATAATCTTCATTTTTACATACCAAGCATCCAAGATTTTAGGGAAGTTTATCTGAAGCAGATGCAAGTCAAAGATTGCTTATAATGGTAGAAACTCCTCTAAGAAATTCTGTTAGTGGCTCTCCCATGCAGGTAATTTAACCATGAATTTAAAAAGACATTGGCTATACAATGCCTTGTATATAAACACCTTCAGGCCCCTTATTTCCTTGTTACTGTCCCAAACTAGAAACAACTCAAGTCTATAAGATGACTAAACACATTTTGGTATATTAATACCAGAAAACATTAGACATAATAAAAACAAATTTTGCTATATAATTTACTATCGCTGCAATAGAAAGACTATTAATATCCCAGCAAAATCAATGGCTTTCAAAACAATTATCCTGAGGAAAATAAACTAGGCAAATAAAAGCAGATACATATGATTCCACTATATATAAAATTTTAGGAAAAAAAAACCAATTTATATCGACAAATATATTTGGGATTGGAAAACACAGCAAAGAGATGAACTATAAAAAAAAAAACAACATATATTAAATTTAAAAAAGCCAATATCTCAAATTTTAGATTATAGTTATGTTTACTATTTTGGTTGTGATGATAATTTCATTGGTATATTCATATGTCAAGATCTACCAAAACTGTGCACTTTTAAACATGTTCAGCCATTTATGTCAGTCTCAATAAAGCTATTAAAAATAAAAATGATTCAGGAAAAGAAAAAAAAAAGAAAAAAAATTCTGTTAGCACCTAAGCTTCAGAGACAGAACCATGCCCAACACACAGAAGACCTTGATGGGATCCCCGGGACAGGAGCTGGGTCAATCTTTGTGGAATCTTTGTGGAAATGAAAATGCTATCTCAGGAACCATGTCCAATGGTCAGCATTTGTATCAGCATGCTAACTTCTCACATATAGGGTACAGGAAAGATCCCACTCAGAAACTGAGAAAATGCACAAACCACCATATGACTTAGACCCACACTTAAGAGCAGCAAGTGACCACACCCACTGACCTTAACACTTACCATCTCTGACTGGTGAGAACATGTCACCTAAGCTACTTTTCCCAGTATCATCAAAGTTGGAGAAATCTTGACTTTTTCCACCATCTGTTTCCTTAGATAAAATATCTGTATTTATGCTTCGATGCAAGCCTTGGGAGAATTGGATACAAAGATGAGTGCTGTTAACATACATATAAATAGCTGGTACCATCAGAAGCTAGAGTGCAAAATGATCGTTAGCCACATTGTAAGAATTTTATAATTGAGCATTTAAGAAAAGCAGCAGAATATATCAGTGAAGGACTCTTCTAAACAAACAGCTCATTTCTTCATAGGAATCACTTCGGTAGAAAGTTTCTAAAATCATCAATATGCTTTTGATGCCATCTTAAAGTACACTAAATACAATATATGTTTCTTATGCTTATGACTGTCTACAAAAGACTAAGACAAATCTACTTGGCATACAGCATGATACCTGAGTCAGCTAACATTTGTTCTCCATCTTGCAAAAAGCAAAACTCTTATCCCCATCTAAAGTCTTCTGTCACCAAGAGTGGGAGCCTAACTAGATTCTCAGCATCCCCAAACTAAAGGACTTACTAACTCACTTTATTACTAGCAATAAGGAAAAGAGAGTAACAGACTCATAAAGAGCAGTGCAGTAGCAACAGTAAAGGCCTTGCTAGGTAAGTGCCTGGCTTTAGAACTAAGGCTCTGTGGGAGGAACCAGAGGTTAAGAACCATCTTGCTCATGATCGGAGTGCTGAGTTCCTGAGAGATGCAGCAACTAGGTGAACCCTAGCCCCTGGCCTGGCTGCACTCTGCTATCTATTTTGAAAAGAAGCTTGACCTGGCACCTTGGTCTCAAATGGAAACAGAAAAGCCTGAGATGAACATGAAAAACAGACTACTGAGTTTTCAAAGCAGACCAAGCCTGGCTAAAGAAATCAACTTAAAAGAAAAAAGAAATTGCAAAATCCGAGCAGCTGGAGATCGCAACACTGACAGGTGTTTAGAGCAGTGGCTTCAGCCAGGGACAGTGATGCACGGCTGAAAACCAGCACTGGGAGGTTATGGAGTCCAGGTCAGCCTGGGCTACACAGTGAGTGGATGAAAGGGAAGAATGTGGGCAGGGAGGAACTTGTCTCCTCTTTCCAGATTCTTAACATATTTGAATGAACATCCTAGCCTTTGAAAAAAAAAAAAACAGAGGGTTAGTATCATAGAAAAATAGGACTGAATCCTTAATTTTCATTTCTTAGAAATTGCTATTTCCTACTGAAACTGAGGACCAGTAACAAGTCTACAGAGGTTCTTTTCAATAACTAAGTTAGATGACCCCAGTAGAAAGAGGAATTTTTAAAAATTTAGACTAACTGTAGATAAACTTCAAAGTAAGTCATCATCCCGGTCATGACTATGATGACAGGATCACTAATACTATGGTTTACTGAGTTTCTCATGAGCCAGGTACAGATTCACCAATATATCATTTACCGAAAGTCTCGTGTGCCAGGCACTTGGGATACACCTCCTCAGATTGCCACCACAACCCTAAACATTAAACATTATCTTAGTGTATAGAGAAACCAATGAGACAACAGAGGCCAGGATGGCTCAGTCAGAACAATGCTTGCCCTGCAAGCAATAGTGGCTGAAGATGATTGCCAGACCCCACAAGAAAATAATAGCAGGGGGCCTACAGGCCCAGCAATGGGTAAGAAGCTTACTGGCTGGCCAGCTCGGCAAGGTCCAAGCCGCAGAGAAACTCTGACTCCAAAAATAAAGTGGACAGTACCTAAGGAATGTGGCACCCAAAACTTGTCAGGCCTCCATGTGCACAGGTACACACGCATGTGCGTGCATGCACACACAGACAAGTAGGCTACACACAGCTGTGTCTGTGTGTGTGAGACAGAGTAAGAAACAACAGTAGGAGAAAATGAAAAGATGTGGATTCCTTCCAGACTAATGTGGTTTGATCACGCCAGACCGCCTGAAACAGAGTACAAGCTGATCCTGCATTCCAAACAGCTGGACAAAACAGCCCTACAGACTACAGCCAGGATATCTGAATCTTCTTCGAATCCCCCAAGACAGCGCCCCTTACCAGCAGGAAGTAGTTTGGAAAGAACGACGCCCAAATTCCCAAATATTGTGTATAAATGTTTGTTTTCATTTAATTGGACTTTGTTATATAAAATTAAATAAAAAAAATAAGTAATAAAAAAAATGGGAAATAAGTACAAAACTAAAAAAAAAAAAAAAAAAAAAAAAGAAACAACAGTAGGACAGAGTGCTGACTGCCAAAGGGCAGGTTCACTATGTGTAAAACTTCTCTGCAAGTGGACAGTTGCTTCAAAATAAACAGAAATCTGTTTGCCAGGACAAAGCAATGACTTGCCTAGCCAGACAATCTGAGACTCTTAAGGCTGCCATTAATCGGTAATCCAGCAGACCCGAGCCTTCATTTGCGTGTGAGTGTGGTCATCCTTAAAGAACAACTACTTGTTAACAACCGACACTCTAGTTCATGGTTTACAAACTACTACCATTTTCATCTTTAAATCATCTTATGAATAAGAATTGCAAAATCATTTATGAAGGCCATAGCCAATTTTCATAATACAGTTAAGTCAGCATTTTAGAAAACATTATTCAGTTAGTTACATTTCAAAAATAATTTCTTCTAATACAACAGCCATCGTGTTTGTCTCCAAGTTCTTAGACACGAACCCAGTTACTTTTCTGACTGTTGTGACTGTTCTGTGAGAGCGACATAGACCCTCACAGGGAACTGATAATGAAAATAGTTACCCCACATTACCAAAGTCAGCACTTGGTTTTGTCAAAGCTTTGGTTCTGCTGCTATTTCGAAGTAGTAAATTCATACTAAGATGCACAGACCTGTCTTGCAAGATAAAAAGCAGGGTGTATGCATCACTACTGAGGGTAAGGTGCTTTTTGAGGAAGTAGGCTGTGGTCCCAGTTTCTACTCCTGGTGCAGTGAAGCCTCTCCTCCACCACACCTTTCTCTGACAGGAAGGAGTTAACAGGTTATCAGAAGAAATCACCTATACACTATAAACTCCCAATTAACAAACTGCATTTCCCAATCTCTATCCTATCACCTGACTTCCTCTTCATTTTGTGATATGAAACATTAAGAACCACGAGGTCAAAGCAAACAGACAGCTCTGGCATTGCCACTCTGCTCATGACAGAACAAAAACTCAGCCAATCCAAAAGAGTATCAAAGGGGATGGCTTCTGAGTCAGCACTCCATATCTAAACTAATCGCTCTTTACAACAACAGGAAGCCAGCTAAACAGGGTAAGTGCTCCCAAGAGCTCTTCAGCAAGGCAAAGTTAGTAGGCTTCATTTCTTTAACGGTACCTACAAGTCAGTTTTGCCTAAATACTCAAGTGAGACCCAGGTTCTCCTAATTAGATAACATTTGGGGAAAGAACAAGCCCTCAGAACACTCTTGACATAAGCAAAGTTACCTGCTTTGTCCTGCGCAGCAACGGCTCCTCTGCCCACAGCTGTTGTCACGGGCTGTGGGAGGACTGTGGCAACGGAAGGGGCAGGTGCTTCTCTGATGGTTCCGGAATTCTGAGCAGCTCCAGCACTACCACTCACAGCAACACTCCATTTGTTCACCGATGTGGCCTTATTTGAGCAGCCTTTATTTAAACTTGGCTGAATGGAACAGAATATTTAAAGGGTTGGGTTACTAATGTGCCGTACTATACATTAATATTTTATAAATATCCTGCAAAATTAACAGTTTAAAATCAAGTCTCAGACGGCTTTATACTAAAATGACGTATAACGTCACCATATAAAATATCTATGAAGCTGTGTTCAGTGGATAAGATACAGTTTTCATTTTCTGAGCTAGGGGTTTTTAGTAAGAGTGAAAATGTTGAAAAGAGGGTATCTCACCTTCGTCAGAGACGTGGAATACTGAAATGCTATACACTGCACAGATGTCTTGTGGGCACTGATTGTTTTCACGGGAGACTTCAGCATCCTTAAGTCATATTGATATATTTTCCCATGGGAAGATCCAATAGCCAAAGTGGCTCCATCAGGCATAAAATCTATTGCTGTCAGAGGAGTGTCAGCCACCAAAGTTTTCACTAGCCTTTGGAAAAGCAGAGGGATATGCAAGTGCATTATATACATAGGAGTATAGGCTTACATGACACAATTATTTATCAAAAACACTTAGCCAGAAGTCTGCAAACAATGCATATCCCAAATAATTGCTTAAAGCAGTTTGGAGTTTGTCTCAGACATATAACCCGAATGACCTGTAAAGAACTGAATATTCCACCTACTGTTCTACTCACATCACAAAGGCACAGCCTACATTTTCCAAGTAGACCACCTTCCTGGAGCCAGTACTCTACAGCAGAGAGTATGTGACAAGTCCCTAGTGTCACTAACAGCCACCAGCCTCAGGGCTGAGCAGACACCATATATCCAGTTTCCACTTAGTGGCCTGCTTGTCTCTGGAGGACTGTGACCTTTCACAGCAGCAGATGCTACTCTTGAGTTGTGCATCTCTTGACCAAAAAACAGCTAAAAGCAATACAGTGCGTGTGGCCAATGGAGACGGACTTGCTCTTCGAGGGTCTATCTGGTACTAGACAAAGAGGAGGAAACAAGGCTGTCTGAGCGCAGAGGCTGCCAGGCAGTGAAACAAGCCGCTGGCTCACTGGAGCAAGGCCCCATTCTGGTATCTCCCAATAGTAACCTCAGCATTCCGCATGATCTCTGAATACTGCTTAGAGAACCACTCTAGCAGCCTTTTCTTTTTTCAAAAGTTCTAACTGAAGCACAGCTATCACAAATGAAGGGTTTGCGTGGTTCAAAGGTCATCTACCTAAGCAGAGCCAACATGTCTTAGGGACATCTGGTAAATCTAGAGACTGCCATAATTCAGCAAATGTCACAGTACTTAGAGGGAGAGACCAAGGACAGTGTTGAAATATATTACAGCGCTCTGAGTGGCACCCATAACAGAGAAACACCAGGCCAAAATATAATGAGTTTGGAAACTCTGATACAGAAAATAAATTTTAAAACTGCTTTAAATAAGTGTGTTTAGTCATATTTTACAAAAGAACCTTAAGACTGATGAAATAAAGCTATACAATGGAAATGCTCCCCCCCCCACGCAACATGCACTGTCTAAAAGTATCCTAACATCCATAACATATCCATTATCTTTTCTACATGAGAAAACAAAAGAAAAATTTCATACTAGATATAACAAATGTACAAATACTAGATCCCCTTAATAGAAATTAGATGCTTGTATAAGTCATAAACATGTTTGTTAATTAAGTAGCTGTCATTAACTTAGACCATGGACACGTCAGGGATGGGGGTGTGGTTCAATGGATAGAGTGCTGGCCTAGCATACATAAAACCCGAGGTTGATGCTAGGTTCCACATAAACTGGGTGTGGTGACATACCCATGCAATTTGAGCATTCAGCAAGATGAGAGAAAAATCTCAAGTTCCAGGTCATCTTTAGCTAACAGGCAGGTTTGAGGCCTGCCTTGGCTAGGTGAGACCCTAACTCAGAACAAATACTCAGGATAATATCACACTTACTTCTTACTTGAAGTGTCATAGAGGATGATTCTCTTATCCAGGCCTATGGTTACAAACAGCAATTCATTGACAGGAGAGAAACAGATGCCAGAAGCTGGAGCCTTGTGGGTACTGTCAAAGCTGTGGTATGAACTCTGACTGTTCACATCCCAGAGGGTCACTGCTCCATTATCCGAAACGCTGCCGAGGAGAGACTTCCTAAACAAGGAGTATTTCACATGCCGGACAGGCTGTGATATAAAGACATGCTAATGTGACTGCCAACATTCAGAAATATCCAGAAACATCAGTGAATTCCATCAACCCTGTCTACACCCTGTTAGATATTCTTTGATTTAAAGACAGACATGTTTTAGCCACAAATCCCACCATGTTATTTAATATGCTGTAAGATGATCCTACAACATTTCAATGTCTATTAGTTGAGTATCTGTCATGATTTTATTATCGTGGAGAACACAGCTTTTTCAATCTCCTCCATTTCAGAGGAAAACTGTTAACGTAACACATCCACACTGACTATATTAACCAACCAGGGTTAGAGCAGTCACAATGAATACAGGGCACAGCCACAGTCAAACCCCAGAAGAACACTGGGAGGGAAGGAAATAGCTCGCACTTGTTTCCTTTATAACCCTTGGACCCTGGGATGCATTGGCCTGTGTGGGGCCTGTGAAACAGACAGGAGGGACTGGGCGGAAGCTCCTCCTGGAAATGCACCCTGAGGACAGTGCTGGCCTTTCTCTAAACACTGACCCCCACCATGACACAAGCTTCGCTTCAAGTTCATCTGGCCTAGAAGATTCGGCTGAGTAAACAGGTCTTGGTTAAAATTAATTGAATTATACCTACTTTTCCTAAAATATTGCTTTTAGGTTTCTATTGGTACCTTAATTAACTGTGCTAACTTACAACTAATTTTGCTTTAAAAACCTCATAATATACTTAATATTACATAATATACATAATATACTTAATAACAACAAAAATAAACAACAAAGTCTGACTAAAGAAATGTCTGTTACTGAGCAGACAGATAAATTACTGCTAATTCGTTAAATGTGGCGCCTTGCTTTCATAGAGTTAAAACACGCAAAAAGAAAATAATGAGTCACACCATTTCCATTTTTGTTGAAGAAAAAAACAAACCACATTGAGATGGAGACAAAATCTTTTGGTCTATATCTGAGGGAAAAAAAATGAACTATGTTGTTTGTTTTGATTGCCAGTTTTAGTTACTATATTTTTGTTTGTAGGTAAGGCTTCCTTCTGAAGTCCAGGTCTGCCTGAACTAGAACCTTCCTTCCCGGCATGTAGCTAGCTTGGAGTGATGCCTAGCACGCCTTAGGCCAGATCCTACTCATGCTATGGACCCTGAGGTAACCCTAGCACGCACTCCAGCAGTTGTCCCAACCACAATTAAAGCTCATGCTCGCTCAGCTATCTAGTGAGCTGGAGGCCAGACTAAACTACAGGGAGGAGACCCTGTCTCAAAAATAACTGTTACTTTAATTAGGGGGGGGGGGGGGGAAGACTGAGAATGACCAAATGTCATAGCCACAGATAACTGCAGCTTTCTAAATTAAATTATTCAACAGAGATACTGTACATGTCTTAAAGATTAAGCATTTAAAATGTAGATTTTATGAGTTCAGTGAACAGACAATATTGCTATTTACCTATTTCTTGTATAAATAAAATTGTTACAGGCAGTTACAGTATTTGGATTTACAGGTAAGAGGTGCGCTAACGCAGGTTCAGTTCAAGGCTACAAACCTGGCCCTAAGTTAGCACTCTGAGGTTGGCTTTATGAGGTAGTTATTTAGATCTCGGGATGAGAGAAGAACGAAGACACAGGTAAGCTCTATGCCACAAGCGCTCCAGCCCTAGTCTGACCTGTCCTTAGGAAGACAAGCTAGGGCCATCCGTTGTGCTAATTTCAGACTCCCAGGCAGATTCTAGACTACTTCTTTCCCCTCAGGACCTAGCATAAAGTCGTAGAAGTAGTATTCTGTCGAAGGACACAAGTTCATCCTGATGTAAGTCATGGCAGTAAGATGCCTAAATCATCCTAAAAATACTATTAACCAGAATCTGAAGCAAGTACACAGCTTGCTACTTTATGTAATAAAACTTTACAAGTATTGACATGACCTGATTAACTTATAACCTAAATTCTATATACTACTTCAAGTTTAGGTGACCTATTGGCAACATAATAAGGGGGGAAAGTTTAAAGATGACCATAGATACTTCTCTCTGATAAATCCGGCCTCATGGCCTCATGTAGAGGCTTAGCCAAGGTCATTGATATAAATATTTAAATTCTCTACACCCCTGTGTGTCATTCACACTGCCGTGGAATAAAATGACACTTCCGCAGAGATCTAGGCACATGAGTCCCTGTCACTGCTGTGTCACAGTCCTTGACGTTCTTCACTTAGTCATCTTTTATGGTTATTTTCTTTTATTGAAATAATACTTTTTCTCATACAATCTATTTTGATTATGTTTTCCTTTCCCTCTGCTTCTTCCAGTTTCTCCCCACCTCCCATTTGGAGCCACCTTGTCTCTCCTTAGAAAACAAGCATCTAAGGGCTAATATTTTGAAATAAAATAAAAAAATATCAGAAAACTACAATGCAAAAATTAAGAAGAAAAGGCACAAGAAACCAACATAGACAAACATTGCATTGCACATTTAGGAATCCCATAAGACCATGATACAGAAGCCATAATACATATGCAAAACCTGTAGGGTAAAAAATAAAAATAAAGAAAACAAAGAATAAAAATAAAAAAGTAAAAGCCTCAATATGACATTATAATAATAAGACAGGAAACGCATAAGATATCACTGAGTTCTTTTCTGTTGGCCGTCTAGTGCTGGGCATGCAGCCTATACTTAACAGTAATTTTGCTTCCCCAGTGAGACTCTCTTGGAAAAAACTCATTTTCTACTCACAAGTTGTTATCAATTGGAGACAGCCTCTGGGCTAGGGATGGGAGCATGTAGCCATTTCTCCTTTCAGCTCCGAGGCCCCACCCAATTCAGACCCCTGCAGGCATTGTGTACACCACCGCCTCAAGTCTCTGAGTTCATACTACGTTTAGAAAGCTTTGTCTCCTTGTTCTCCGCCCTCTTCTCTGGTTCCGCCTCCTTTCCCAAAGGGTTCTCTGAGCCATGAGGGGAAGGATTTTATGGAGCCATCCCGTTTAGGGTGGAGTGTTCTAAGGTCTCTCACCCTTCTGCTATGGGTCTTTGTATTTATTCCCACCTGGTGCAGGAGGAAGTTTCTCTGATGGCTGAGCAAGACACTATGAGCTTCGTGCCACCATTGCACTATGTGTCTTGCAGGGAGGACACCTTTGTAGACTGAGGGTTTGTAGCTGGGTCACTTTTCACGTTTCTCCACAGTAGTTCTGGTACCCAGAACACTGGCCAGAAGGGGGTGAAGGCTCTAGGGAGGCACCAGCTTGACCCCCATTTTCAAGGAGAGTTGTGGAAGCAGTATTTTCAGCAATAGGACCTTGCCATCAGTTTGTGGAGAGCAACTTAAAACAGCTTGGGTTTTTTGAGGATTCCTATGGACTTCTTTAGCCAACAACTTGACTGGATACAACCCATTCCAGTACTGAAGCTTGGTGATGAGATTCTAGTTGGGGCAACTTTCCCTGCTATTTGGCCATTTCACTTAGAACACAAACATGAATGAACAAACACAGGAAGCTTCTACTGCATTAGGTTTCCATATAACCCCTCAAATGACCCTTAAGTTTAGCTATCCCTTCTCTCCCCATATCCTTTCCTCAATATCCCCCTCCCCCTCCTGCCCTAGTTCCCACCTATCCCAACCCACCCATCTATCCACAACTATCTATTCTATTCCCTGGTTCTAGACAGCAGTATCACTCCTTAGTCCCTTATTCTATACCCAAGTTCTGTGATTCTACACATTGTAGCTTGCTTATCTTGGACTTAACAACTAACATACACATACATGTGAATACATACCATATTTGTCTTTCAGGTCTGGGTCACTTTACTTAGGATGATTTTTTTCTAGTTCCACCCATTTAGGTGCCAATCTCAAGATTTCATTTGTTTTTGTTTTTAAACAATGGAGTAGTATTCCATTGTGTAACTGTACCACATTTTTTTTTTTTTAATCCATTAAAACATCTATTTACCTGTTGACAGGATGTCTCGGTTGCTTTCAATTTCTGGCTATTATGAGTAGAACAGCAATTAACAGGGCTGAGCAAGTGTCTTTGTAGTAGGATGAAGCGTTATTTCAGTGTATGTCCAAGACTGGCATAGCTGGAGCTTGAGGAAAATTAATTCCCATCTTCCTAAAGAACCACTATATTAATTTCCACAGTAATTGTATGAGCTTGCACTCCCAGCAGCAATGAATGTGTTCCTTGGTCCACATCCTCACCAGCATGAGCTGTCATTTGTTTTATTGTTCTCAGGCATGCTGACTGGTATCAGATGACTTGCATTTCCCTGATAACTAAGGATGTTAAACATTTCTGTGTTTCTCAGCCATTTGAGTTTCCTATTTTTGAGAATTCTCTGTTTAGATCTATACCTCCTTTTTAAAAACAGGGGTACTTGTTTTCTTGATACCCAGTATTTTTAGTTCTTTACATATTTTGGACATTAGCCCTCTATTGGATATAGTTGGTAACTTTTTTCTTAACCACTCTGTAGTCTGCTTCTTTGTCTGAATGATGGTGGTGTCCTTTGCCATGCAGTTTTTCATTTTCACGAGGTCCTACTTGTTAATTATTGATCTTAGTGCCTGTGTTAATAATGATGTTCTGTTCAGAAAGTCTTTACTGTGCCAGTAAGTTCAAAACTATTCTCCACTTTCTCTTCTACCAGATTCAGTGTATCTGGCCTTTTGTCAAATCTTTGATTCATTTGGAGCTGAGTTTTACGCAGGGTGATGAGTATGGATCTACTTGTATTCTTCTCTACAGGCGGACACCCAGTTTGACCAGTGTCATTTGTTAAAGATGATGTCTTTTTCCAGTGTATATTTCTGGCTTATTTATAAAAAAAACAGGTGTCCAAATCAGATGTGTAGATTTTTCTCTGGATCTTTGATGATCAATGTCTTACATTTATTTTTAAGATCTATAAATGTATGTTTATTTAAACATTCACCCTTTAATCCTGATAATATCGATAGAACATCACTTCTGATCTTTACACATCTAT